CACTTACTTTCTTAAAGAGTTGAAATTCTAGAAACAGTGCAGATGTCAGCTAGAAAGTTAGCATGCTACTGGTATGAATAGAATAATGAATTATTCGGTTTTGGGAAAGAGGGGTTGTGGCTTCTAAATTTAACATTTTGCGGTCGCTGTAGCAAGAAAAGTGCATTCAATTGAGTTAATTGTTCAAATTAGTAAGAATTTCTCTGAAATTTGAATTCTTAGCCTTAGTATGTAAATGTTCGATCAAGTCTTTTGCATTACTATTGTCTATCACTGCATAGATCTTAGTTAATATCTTTCTTCGGACCTCAATAACTAAAAAAAACGTTCTGCGTGAACTGACTCGAACCGTTTTCACTAAAGCAGACCTGAGTCCGAAGACGAAGTTGTCTGTATTCAAATCAATTTTTGTCCCATTGATCAAGTGTAGTACGGACTCGTGAGCCTTGACTAAAAAACTGAATTGATCTGATCAAGAATGTTTTCGTTTCATCCAATTATCAATCGTCGCGACATTTTCTCTGGGGATTCAGCCTCAGCTGTAACTTCAACGCTTTGTTTCTTAACGAACTAATGTGAGGACATACTTTACATAATGAACAGCTTTTGATTTTCATAATGATTTTCTTTCGACGATAGTCACTTCTCAGAGCTTTTGCCGTTTTTCCAAGTGCGTCATGGCGGTCTCCGTAAAAAAACGTTTTAATGATGTGATCATTACCTGAGACTTATCCTTTCCTCAAGCAATAGATCGAACAAAAGCTATGATGCACAGCATAATTTAGCAGATTTTCACTCGTCACGAAGAGTATATTACATCCGTTGCGATATGGTAGAGACCAAATAAATTGCCAGAGTTGTTCCATTTATAAGCCTGTACAAAAGATCACATACCTCGTTGTCTTCAGTAAGCACGATGTTCATTTTATGACATGTATTAACGAGCATACTTGGAGATGATGCGTTGAAAAGTACGAAGTTACTGAAAAGTTGAGGGGTCCATTAGAGAAATGAGGGCTGTCTGTTTCTTACCCGACAATCTCAAGTAAGTCTTTTGATCCGAACCCGCCAATGTGGAGTGTTGCGTTGCTTGTGGCGTTTGCTGCGATGATCTGAAAGTATGTACATATGTAAATTATTAATTGAATATCAGAAATATAAAGCACATTATTTTGTTAAGACCGCAAACTTTCACTTTCACTTGCACAAGCATACGATCTCCGAATAATACAGTGTCAGATTCCATGATAAACGGTTCTTGTCTGACTCCTTTTCGGTCGATTAATTTGCAGGTTTAGGAAAAGAGCTAGTTTACTTCT